TGTTTGCGGCCTACGCCACTTATTTATCGGGTGAGACTGTTTTGGTGATGTATTAACTTCACGGGAGGTAGACGTGATGTATTAACTTTACGGGAGGTAGACGGCCGTCCTTCACACGGACGAAAGAGGGAGTGCTCAAAGAGCGGCTCCCACAGCAAGGAGGGGCCCCGTGAATCATCGCGGTGCCCCCNAGCACATGTATCCAACAGCAATGTTCGCAGACTCACGAACACAAGAAACATTAGTCGACGTTCGCGAAGAAGAACTACCGACTTTCTTTTATTTGGTACAACAACATTGACAAAAACAAAAATGCAAAGGAAAAAAGGGGTCGTGTTCGGAAGTCGTGTTCTGACTACGCGTACACCACAGGACGAACTACATCTGCTTCCTCAAACCGCCTGACGTCCGTGTTGGATGTGCACCGCTACACGAGCAAGGCGTCAACCGTTCTCATAGTATAGACTACTACGTATGTGTGTACATGGAGTTGCGCTGCCATCGACCTTATCACTCAACTTACTTCACTACGCAAGGCGCCAGAGAAATGGTTTATGATTCCCTAGCGAACCGTACTTGAGGCGCCACGAGATTCTCACTGTGGCTTGAGATCAGCATTGGAGACCCTGTCGGGCAAGGAGTGGGCTATGCGAATGAAAATGACAGGGACAGAAAAAGTCAATTTAGGTCGATAGAGACCCAAGCTCTACCGAGCTTGGGAATTTGCCATGAAACGATACCTTCTTCAAGGAGGCCGGCCACGCGACTTTGACGATGGGCTGGTCGAACTTAACCCCAAACGGTAGCTGCTGAACGGAGGCCGGCCACATGACCTCGGCGATGGGCTGGTTGAAGTAGCGTCCAATTAATTGATAGCTGTTGTATGGAGGCCGGCCACATGACTTTAGGTATGGGCTGGTTGAAGTAACATCCAAACGATAGCTGCTGCAGAGAGGCCGGCCACACAACTTCGCCAATAGGCTGGTTGAATTCGCCATCAAACAACAAATTCTTCAAGGAGGCCGGCCACACCACCTCGGCGATAGGCTCGTTGAACATCAAACCAAACGATAGCTGCTGCACTGAGGGCGGCCACACGACCTCGGCGATGGGGCGGTTGAATGAATCACCTAACGATAGCTGCTTGCTGTAGGGAGGCCGGCCACGCCACTTTTGCGATGGGCTGGTTGAAGTAACATCCAAACGATAGCTACTGCAGGGAGGCCGACCACTCGTTTTCGGTGATGGGCTTGTTGAATTCGTCATCAAACGACACCTTCTTCAAGGAGGCCGGCCACACGACCTCGGAGATGGGCTGGTTGAAGTAACGTCCAAACGATAGCTGCTGCACGGAGGCCGGCCACACGACTCCGGCGATGGGCTGGTTGAATTCAACCCCAAACGAGAGCTCCTCCAGGGCGACGGGCCACACGACCTCGGTGATGGGCTGGTCGAAGCGATCTCCAAACAATAGCTGCGGCAGGGAGGCCGGCCAGGACGCAGTGCTCGCGGGCATATCTGAATCAAATACCAGCCGTTTGAGCATCATCTGAAGCCAAAACATCGATCCTAGGCTTGCAGTAGATGAATTTCCGCTCACACGCCGATATTTTGATCTTGACCGCAATTCCACGGCAGAAGTCTGCAGCAGAACCTCCATGTCAAGTGCCCACGTCAAACCCGAAGCCTGCACAGCCGGGACACGATTCGAGACGCATGCCTCACGACTGCGTTTCTTGGTGGTCGCGTGCGATTTGCAGGGAGACCACAAGCTACGAGGCGTTTGTCGATCGACACGCACGTGCAAGGTCGGGACACGTCTGCACGCCCCACAAAACTCCAGCGACACAAGCTGAAGCTCCAGCGTAGACGCGTACCAACGCTTTTCTTGTCCATTGCATGTCTGGTTCAAGGCCACGATGAACGCTCTCAGGCACTCGCTTCGTCCTGATAGGGATGGCAGGTACCCACGTAAACACGTCAACAAAGTGGGTTGTGGGCCTTGGGACAGTTCTTGATGCGCGGCTACTTGATTTTGACACAGGGAACAAGGTACTCGATCGTAGCAAGATCACGGCCCACAATGAATTGCCAACAGCTTTTGGTGGACAAAAACACGGCGGCGGTGTCCCGTTATCGATCACCTATTGATGTCTTGTGTTCATCTTCGACACCCCTCTTGCGAATACTGGTTGAGTTGGGGGCAAAAGTACGATTATTTTGGTAGGCCCCTGCAAGATTCATGAAGTAACAGACCACATGGTTCTTCGGGTACAACATTGACAAGGGAGCCTGATCAATGCAACCGGGGCCATTCTTGAACCACAATCCACGAAGACAATCAGGCTCTTCGCCACCATTTTTGGCGATGCTGGGGCAACCGGTCCACCCCCAAAAGTCGACAAATAATCCCCATCACTCTCCGTTCGTGTACGTGTATGTCAAGGATGGCCTGTGTCACAAACTTTGTATTCATAATGTTCTCAACGCTAACTGAGATCCAAGCGCATGTCCTCAAGAGGCATACCAGAGACGAAATGAAAACTCTGTAAAACCTTTTCCGAAGGATCGCCGTTCGTTTATCGATGAAGGAGTCAAGTCTCGAAATACCTCTTCTGCCTCTGACGGGGAAGCAACGTGCCTCGCCTTTTTTTCAATACCGACCACAACAAAGTTCGTTCAAGGGTATCAAGAGTTTCGTGCGTGCACCTTTAACTTTCTAAATGGAGCACTCCCATGTTCACCTCCCCCCCCCCCCCCCCCCCCCCCCCCCCCCCCCCCCCCCCCC